AAAACCACCGTCTCTAACTAAAAATACAAAAAAAACCAGCCGGCGCGAGTGGCAGGTCCTGGTAGTCCCAGCTAACTCGGGAGCCTAAGGCAGCGAGATGGCGTGGAACCCCCGGGAGGCGGAGCTTGCAGTGAGCCAAGATCGAACCACCTCCGCCAGCTCCAGCCTGGCGAATCAGAGCAGACTCCCATCTCCCAAAAAAACCAAAACCAACAACAACAAAAACTGTCCTCTACACTTGCCTGTCCTGGCAAAACACTCGAGGTTATGGATATTAGTGATTGCATCTCCTCGACTGTTAAACCTTCACTAATGCTTAATTGAGGAAATCCACAAAGATTTGCTGTAAATACGAAAAGTGAATTGCAGACCAATCAATATGGTTGGTGTCAATGTGGGATAATGGCAAGTGCACATAGCGCGGCATTTATGTAGTAACTAAGACAACTAAAAAGTCATGGCTAGTGGCATATAAAATACTCTTTGCGATAAAATATTTCCCTTTATTAAGTATAGAACCGGGGACATAACAAGGAACTAAAACCATCGGAAGTGACAACTAGCCCTCAAAGACACCCTCTTTCATCGGTTGGTTTCGGCAACTCGTTTTGGGGTTATTTAGCATCTTAAGAAAGAACACCAATGGCTTCGTCTGGATGAAAAGCCTAATTGGCTGGTCTGTTCCGAGCTGGTCCTGACGGTTCCTGATAGCCAGGTGTTGGATGTTGGGTTCAGAGCTGAAATCATCTTTTGCCCGTGAACTGGCACTAGACTCCTACAATTTCTGCCTTACTGCCGAACACTTCCAGTTTTTCCTAACTTGGTGATTTTCCCTGGTGGAACAAGCCTTTATTTTCTAACCTAGGCAATGATCCTTGAAGCAGAAAGGAATCCCAAGTGCCTTTAACAATTGGTGTTGGCGCCCGGCGTGTGGTGGCTCACGCCTGTAATCCCAGCCGCTTTGGGAGGCCGAGGCTTAGGAGACCGCTCTTGAAACCCAGGAAGTTTGACGAACCCACAGCCTGGGCACCAAGTGAGACCCCTCATCCTACAAAAATTAAAAACGTAATAAAAATTTGGTTTGTTGACTTTTTTAAAAAAGCTACCTAATTCGTTTTGGGGAAATAGAATTTATTGCGTTTTTCCCCTCCCATTCTGTTGCAAACACTTGAAATTTTTTATCTTTATTTTTTTACGAGACAGGGTCTCCATCACCAGTGCTGGAAGTGCAGTGGCCCCAGGGGAACTAGGGGGTTACAGGTGGTGAGCTGCTGCGCCCAGCCTGCCAAGGCTGAAATGTCTACGCGCTTTCTTCTTTCGTGTGTCAGCGTGGTTTTGGGTTATATTCTAGACATTTTGAATATGACTTTATGAGATCTGGGTTGTGTTTGAATCCCGTGGGAAATGTCGAAGTCTTTGGTTAGCACGCACTTGGTCCTGTGAGGGTCGGACGCACACTGCTCCTGCTCCCCTGGACTCCTGTCTTCAGAGCTGCTGGTCTTTGGTCTGGGGCCCGAGGCTGGTCCACAGTTCCCCAAGTCCGTGGTGTGACCCTTAGACTCACGTGTGTGTGTGTGAGTAAGCCCGGCACCCACAGCCGCCCCATGCGTGAGCCCGGCACCCACAGCCGCCTCATGTGGGTGCTTCCCAAGCTCCCCACGCTGGATCTGGCTGCTGGGCTCCCTCACTGTCCATTCAGACAGTTGTGGCTCTAGTCACCCCCATGTGACGTGCCCTTGACTGGGCCAAGTTGGCGTCTATATGGCAGGAGGGCAGGGGAGGAAAAAGCTAACGGGGCTGGTCCCACCCTCAATGCAGCAGCACCGAGCCATGAGGGACTTTCTGGCCCCCGAGTTTGGCTCTGATGGGTTCCTGTTGCCACCACTCCCACTGCCATCAGGGTCACAAAAGAACGGAGAAGAGAGTAAACCCAGGGCATTGCCTCACTGACCCTGCCCATCAGCGTCGGTTCCTTTCCCGGGCCCTTAGGCCTGCTCTGGGCTTTCTGCCTGGCCCCAGCACTCACCTGCAGTGTTCCGGCTGCGTGGAGTTCAGGTCATGGACATAATAAGGTCAAGCACCAGTTCTGCGAAACTTGGGATTGTGCTGCTGCTCCCTGACCCGGCTCTCCCGCTCTCCGGCAGCTGCTCCAGGCCACGTGTACGAATTTCATCACTGCAGTTTCACAGGGCTCACTGTCGCCCAGGCTGGGGTGCAGTGGCGCAATCTCAGCTCATTCCCGGGTTCAATCAATTCTCCTGCCTCAGTCCTCTGAGTAGCTGGGATTAGAGGCGTGTGCCACCACGCTCGGCTAATTGTTTTTTTATTTTAGTACAGAAGGGGTTTCACCATGTTGGCCAGTCTGGTCTTAAACTCCTGACCTCAAGAGATCCGCCCACCTCGGCCTCCCAAAGTGCTGGGATTACAGGCGTGAGCCACCAGGCCCGGCCTGACCTCAGCATGTATTTTCTGAGGACTTCTGTTCTTTTGGCAATTCAGTCACTTTCTCTTTAAACACTGAGTCTTCACCCCCACCCTGTAGATGGGGTGGGGGCATGCATGCCGCTCAATTCCCCTCCCAGGGCTCTGTTTCTTTCATCTCTGTGTCATCTTCTGCTGCCTGGTCCTCACAAGTCTGTCTGGTCCAGTGCTTTCCACGTATCAACCCGCTTTTAATTCTTTATTTCTTATTTTTTAATTTTTTGAAGACAGCAGTTCTCTCTCTCTGTCCCCAGCTGGACGTTACACGTGGCCGCCATCCCCTGCTCACGCAAGCTCCACCTCCTGGTTCAAAGCCCATACCTCCTGCCCTCAGGCCTCCTGAGTTGCTGGGACTACAAGGGCGCCCGCAACCCGCCCAAGCTGGCCAATTTTTTAAAAAAATTTTTAATAGAGACGCGGGTTTCACCAATGTTACGCCAGGGAATGGTCTGATCTCAATAGAGGACACATTTTCGTCGACTCCAACCCCGCCTCACAGAAACCTCCCAAAACAACATGCTGGGATTCACAGATGTGCAACCACCCGCGCACCAGCCTCACATACTCAAGGCTTCTTTGTCGGGCAGTCACGCGTCACCCGTGTCCGTTTTCCAGTGTCTAACTGGCTCCCTTTTTATTTTGAAATGTCCACGTCCTCTTGATTTCTGTCCCCGCTTTTGTTGTATGGTGCATAGAGGTGTTTTTGTCAGTCTCCCTGAATGTGAACATAGCTAAATCCTTTTCGGGAAATTGCTCCATTCTCTGGAGCCTGCCCGTGGAGCGTTTCCGTTTGCAGAATCTGTCGGCTCTTTTCTGAGGGTCTCAGTTTTAGCGCAGCTCATCTTGTCAGGGGGTCTTTGGTGTGTCTTCCTTCCTGTCCTTGTTCTCGCCCACATTGGGGGTCTTATTATGAACTGCAGAGGTCCCCAGGGCTTCCCAGCTGGAGACCAGGAGTTAGCGGGACAGAGGCCCCATCCCTCTGGGTGGCGCGGCCTGCGTTGGTGGTGCCGTCCCTGACCCCGTCGGTGCTGGGGCTCAGCCCCAGGGTCTCTACCAACCCCTGCAGCCCATGTGGCTCCAGGAACCATCACCTCGATACTCACTCGTCTCCTCTGCGTCCTTTCTCTGTACGGGGTTGCCTGCTGCCATGTGTGGAGCCACAAGCTCCGTGTGCTTCCTGTAACGGGCAGCGGACCCGAATGCCAGGCTCTCCTCCTGCCGTCTTGTCACCACCATCACCCTGGGCCCCCTGAGCTCCGGTGCAGCTCTGACAAAGCCTGCAACGTCCAGCTGGAGCTGCACCTCTGCTGCCACTTGTGGGCCCCTGGTCCCTTCTTCCCTGGCATGAACTCTGAGGAGCTCTGCCCGACACCCTCCCTGCCCCCAGCAGCCGAGGCACTCCCTCAAGGACAGGACTGACTGTGGAGGCCGCCCTGGCACTGGGAGCGACGCGGCCTACTGACCCTGGAATCAGACAGCAGGCCCTGCATGCTGCCAGCCCCGGCAGATGTGCCAGGCATCTCCCTGGATGTCACAGAGGGGGGACAGGGCAGTGTGACAAAGTCTGGCACCAGCACATGACCTCAGATGCACGTCACCTGTCAGCAGTGACTGCAACAACCACTCCACTGGGGCCACTATGCCAGCGGTGACGTCACCCGTCAGCGGTGACGAGATCCACTCCACTGTGCCAGCGGTACCCAGTCTCCCTCCCTGCAGACAGAGACTGGACAACAACGTGCTGTTGCCAACTGTTTATTCAGGGCCCTGAACGGGTGGTGCGTGGACATGCAGCACACTCGGGCCCACAGCAGCGTGACCAGCCGCTCCCAAGCCCCGGGCGCGCAACCACAGCCAGGCTGCCAGAGCCAGCAGCCCCTGCCACCGCTGGGCCACTGTCCAGGGCCCTGCAGGACCAGCCGAGGGTGCCCCAGGCTGAGGCCAGCTGGGGCGGGTGAACCCCTAGCCTGGGGATGAGCGAGGAGTGGCACCCCCAGTATCCTGTGCACCCCAAGCTGGCCAGGAGGCCAAGGGGACCTTGGGTTCCAACCTCACCGGCCACCCTGTGCCAAGCATCACAGCTGCGTGAGCAGGTTTGCGTGTGAGAGCGTGGCGGGGCCTGGCTGTCCCCTTCCTAAGGCGTAACTGCTACAAGCGTCTCCACCTCTCCCGCTCGGGAAAGAACCACAGAGCCTGGGTGGTGTCGAGGGGTCCCAGCGGCTCCAGTGCACCCAGTACCCCTCAGCGCCTCTGGCTGGCAAGCCAGGAAAAGAAGGCGCGAGGCCGCGGACGATGTGCCTGGAAGATGCGCACGGTGCGTGGGGAGCGCCAGGCTTTGATGGTGGCATCATCGCTGGCCGTGAGCAGCAGCTCCTGCTCCTGGGGACTGAAGGCCACTGAGTTGACCACGTCCTCGTGCCGCAGCTTGGCCAGGCAGATGTTGTAGTGGCGGTCCCAGATGTAGCCGTGCCGGTCCTCGGCCCCGCTGCAGAACAGCGCCTGGATGAGCCGGTCGCCCGCCTGCTGCGCCCACGCCCGCCCTGCACCACGCTGCGCCCTGCACCTGGCCACGAAGTCCCTGCTGACGTCCAGGAAGATGAAAAAGCACTCGTCGTTGGGCGTGTAGGCGCGGTGCGCACGCAGAGCCCGCCTCACCTCCCGCATGGTCTTGAGGTCGAACACCAGCAGGTCAATCTCCTCCGCGATGGGTGGCGGCTGCATGGGGTCGGCAACCACCGCACCACTGGGCCAGGCGCGGCTGTTCACATACAGGTACCTGGACGAGGGGCACTGTGCTAGGTATGGGCCGCCTGCGGGCACCCCGCCTGGGACACTGGCAAGAGGCCCACCTGTTGTCGGGCGACAGGCCCATGCCAATGATGTGCCCATGCACGTCTATGACGTGGTCCAGCGCGTCGAAGAAGGCGTCAGAGCCCCGGCCCTCGCCCAGCACGGGCCCCGCCGTTGTCATCTGGTGTGGCAGGATCTGCTTGATGCCTGCAGGGAGGGCTGCGGTGAGGGTCCCTGCCCAGTGCCCCAGGGACGTCACTCCAGGGCAGCCCCCTACCCCAGCGGTGTCTCTGGGGCTGTGGGCACCGCAGAAGTCCGCGGGCACTGCCTGCTCCGGGGGCCCCAGACCTGAATCAGGCCCCTCAGCTGCTCGCTGGCAGGCGGGCCTGCCTGTTTGTTTTCACCGCTCATCCCGCAGGCCCCAGACGAGGCCAGGTCTGGGCTGGTGACCCCGAAGTGAGTGAATGATCCCAGCTGTGCCTGCGGACTTGCTTGCCATCTGCCCCCCAGGACCCCTGCCCGGCCTCCCCCAAGCTGCTAGGACCGAGGCGGGCAGCATGGCGGCAGGGGTGTACCGATCTGGTGTGGGGAGTAGGTGAGGCAGCCAGTGGTGAAGATGAGGTACTTGCTCCTGGCGCCTGTGGCACTGCGCTCAGGGGGCTTGGTGTGGCCCTGGGCCAGCAGCTCGGCCACCTTGGTCTCTAGCACGCGCTCCGACGGCTGTGGCTGCGCCCGCCCCTCCAGCACGCGGTCCAGAAAGTGCCGCAAGCCCTCCTTGGCATGGGCGGGGGCCGGGCCAGCCACCTCCTCCTCGTTGTCTCCGCCCAGGTCAAAGATGCGGCAGGGGGACGTGGCCGGGTCGCCGGCTTCCAGCAGGAGGTCAGGGCTGTCGAAGCGGCTGCAGTCGGCCACCATCACCGTGCGGATGGTGCTGGCGTTGAGGTTCTGGATCTTGAACAGCCGCTTCACCACATTGACGTTCTCTGACTCCACGTCCTGAGGGCGGGGGCACACGCCAGGTGGGCGCCAGGCCCTGGGGATGGCAACCCTGCCCCCAGCCCAGCCCTGTCCCGCCCCGCCCCACCCCACCCGCACCTGGAAGGCGTTGTTGAGCCACAGCACCGAGCAGGAGGTGATGTCTCCGATGCGGTGCAGGTTCCCCGAGATGAGGCTGGTCTCGGTGAGCCAACAGCCAAACACGTCGTAGGGCTTGTTCCGCACGCGGGACAGCAGCGCGAAGGAGTCTGTGGGGAGGCCAGGGCTGGACAGGCTATTGGCGTGGGGCGGGAACGGGAACGGGGGCGGGGGGGGGGGGCGGGGGGCGGGGGGCGGGGCCCACCCGGTACCCGGCACCCGGCACCCGTGCTCACCTAGGCTGATGACAGCGATCTCGCCGGATGAGGAGTTGTGCGGCCCCAGGAACACCCCCGAGGCCAGCAGCAGCGAGTCGTCCTTGTTGAACTGGGAGAACTGGGTGTAGCTCCAGTTGTAGGGCCGCATGTCCGCGCTGTGCAGCAGCGAGATGGTCAGGTCGTTGCTCCAGATCTGCACGGCGGGGTTGGCCATGGTGATCACCTGGCCAGGTCGCGGGGCAGGGGCCTGCTACCACAGCGCCATGAGGCCCCAGCTCTGCCAGCCCTGCTCACAGGCCACCAGGGGGCAGGGACCCCTTGAAGCCACTGTCATCCAATCTGAGGGCATCGGTATAGAGGGTAGGAGCCTGCCCCTGTGGGACCCTCTCCTCAGCCCTCAGGGCCGCCCTGCACCGCTCCTGATCCTATGTGGTCCCTCCGCTGGTGTGTGGCCAGCAGCTCGGCCACCTTGGTCTCTAGCACGCGCTCCGACGGCTGTGGCTGCGCCCGCCCCTCCAGCACGCGGTCCAGAAAGTGCCGCAAGC